CAGAAGAGGCTCCTCACTTTGTACCTTGCCTAAGGCCCCACATTGGATTGGCAAGATGACAGAATACCAGAAGAGGCTCCTCACTTTGTACCTTGCCTAAGGCCCCACATTGGATTGGCAAGATGACAGAATACCAGAAGAGGCTCCTCACTTTGTACCTTGCCTAAGGCCCCACAGTGGATTGGCAAGATGGCTGAAGTGACTCGTATTCCGGACAACTGAGCTACGGATGCAGTATTGTGCCATTTCTGCGACGGCTTTACTGAATTAGGTAATACATTTTCTTCTCTGTTCCTATTATAGAATCGTTACCATTTATGTGTAGAATCAACAGATCTTTTTTGTAAAGTCTAATGATGACGATTAGATACTGATCCCACAGTTTCTAAATTCATTTCAAGTTAATGGGCACATTCTTCCATCTTTCCGTCATTTTCTCGGTTGTTTGCCATAGTTTTGTTGTTGTTGTTTTAACCACTTCCTGTTATGTTGGCCATAGTCTTTATCGTATTCTTCAGCTTTGCGGGTCGTGCTCTTCTTCTCCAATGCTTCATGATATCATTGTAATATATCTACAGAGTTTAATTTTTATTTTATACCTATCATATGTAACAAATTGAAACGGTGGATCATACCGTAACACCAAAGTGTTAAATAACACAGTTATTATAGGACCTAGAGATGACGCACAAACTGTTTTGAAAGAAATAAAACAGATATAATTTACTCCCACGTTCACGACTTTTCTTGAAACCATCCAAAAAAATGGAGTATAAAGTTTCACTTCCTCAAAGACATTAGAAGGACATAAATCATTAGTGAGAACTAGGCTTATTCTAATTACGGAATACAAGTCATTAGAATTTCACTAACACTTCTAATTATACGGCTTTCTGAATTTTTTATCAAGGAAATCAGTATATTCGCTTTGAAATTATAATATTTTCGAATGGCTTCTACTTAAACGACGCCCACGTTCGAGAAAGATCTAGCACTTTTAAGTTTATTTTCGAGAAAGCCTTTTTATGCGCCCTCCAGTGGCACAGCGGTATGTCTTCGGACTTAGAATGCTACAAACCTGGTTTCGATACCCGTGGTGGGCAGAGCACAGATACCCCATTGCGTAGCTTTGTGTTTAACTACAAATAAACAAACAAGCCTTCTTAGGAATAATCGCATAAAAACAACGATTATAATACAACGACCTCTATCGGATAATTTGTCATATTTTTGATTATTGTTAATATTATCGCATTGTTTTTATTATAACGTTGGTACAGTAATTCATTCGGCTATAGTTTAATAATGTACTAAGTTTATTACCCTTACCGCCGAGTTTTTGTAGTGTGACACATGAAGATACGATTATTGTTTAATAATATAATCAATAAATAAAATATAATACAAGAAAGCGGAGCAATAGGTTGTGGCACTGTCCGACCAATGGCATGTCAGTTAACAGTGCCGACCAATAGCATGTCACTTACTAAAATGTTTAAATGACAAGAGAAGCTAAGTGTTTGGTGAGGAACCTTAGAGAACCGAATAATTAAGTTTGAAAATATAACAACATGATGAAAACTCCATACTTCGGGGTCATAAATTTGTAATTATTAAAACCATAGCTTGCCTACAGTAAAAGTTGTTGTAATTTTAAATTAATTAATAGAGGGAGTATAGCACCCCTATACTTCTAAACAAGAATAATAATAATAAAAACAACTTTATATCAGTATTGTTTCAATGTTTCAAGTAGCCAGCGGTAAGTTTCCGGACTTACAACGCTAAAATCCAGGGTTAGATTCCCCGCGATGGTTTTGTTTGTTTGTAATTTCGTGCAAAGCTACACGAGGGCTATCTTTGCTAGCCGTCCCTAACTTAGCAGTGAAAGGCTAGAGGGAAAGCAGCTAATCATCATCACCCACCGCCGAATCTTGGGCTACTCTTTTACCAACGAATAGTGGGATTGAATGTCACATTATAACGCCCCACGGCGTGTTTGGTGGGACGGGTATTCGAACTCACGACCCTCTGACTGCGAGTCGAGCGCCCTAACCACCTAGCCATGCCAGGCCTCTCCGCGCTGGATACAACAGATAGCCCAATGTGCTTTTGGTCTAAAACAAACAAAAATATGCTATCACTGAATGCCGTCAGGATCAGAACGTACACGTAGTATAACAGAAACCAGTGTTATCATGCATGATCACTTATTACTTCTATTATGACTGACCAGTAAATGGTAGACTTGGTTACGTACACGAAACGGAACTTATTGAATTACGACACCATGAAATACAGACTGCAGTAGGTACGGTTACAGTCTTCACTTCCATTGGCGTGGTTTCGTCATGTAAATATTTATAAAGCGAAGTCGTCCGCTAACACAATTGTTACGAGACAACTAATACGTCCTCTGTCAAACAAGTCTAGACATCGTGTTTATTCGGTTAGCAGCTACTCACGTCATTCTTGACCTCGGACTAAATAATTATGACCACCCATAAAGAAGCCCTACGAAAATAGAGTACCAGTTTTTTTTTTTTCTTTACAAAAAAAAAAAAATACTTCAGAAATATCCTACAAGTCCTAAAAATGACAGCTGTAAAAATTTAGAAAATGCACAAATAACCTTACGAATAGAATTCCTATTTTTTACGGCTGCGCGTACTTAACACTCAAAGCTACAAAAGCGCATTACGAAACGTGATACTTTGGCCCCGTCCAGTATGATTCTTACTACAGAAAAGGTCTTCTGATTTTGACCTTTTACTTTATTGGCCGAAGGCTAAAGGAGAATATTACACTATAACCAACAGCGATACCTTAGAATAACCACATCCGGAAGTTTCTTAAAGTACACCATCGAAACAAGTGTTGGCGACAAGCAGAGGTTAAAGGGAAGAGTCCCTCCCTATAGTGGCCAAACTATTATAGGATAGTTGAAAGTTTGGGAAGAAACTACTATGAGAAGCGTAAAACTGGTTCTCATCGGGCAAGATTGAAATTCGGGCTAACTATCCACAGTCAAGTGGATCTGGGAGCGATGGACATGGCGATTGTGGTTGCCATGAGAACTGGCGGTGACTTTCATCTCTAATGTACAGTATGTATATAATGTTTTATTGCATGGTTGATTTTTTTAAGGTTCCTACTGGATTAGGCACACCCCCCAGCTCCGTATTTGACCTTAACCACTGGCGACGGGATAACCAAGGTTAAATGTTCTTCAACCACTAGAATTGAGACTGGCTAACAGAACAGGCTTTGAAAAGTTGCGTTTGAGTTTCTCCCTCTAGAGGAATCGCATATTTATATCCATTTTCAATTTTAGTGTTATTATTTTCTCCGATTCTTGGCGAGTATACAAAATTTACTAATAAACCAAATACAATAAGGGGATATAAACTGAACATTTCTGCCTCTCAAACCTTAAATTTACTAATAAACCAAATACAATAAGGGGATATAAACTGAACATTTCTACCTCTCAAACCTTAATTTCCTAAAATTTACTAATAAACCAAATACAATAAGGGGATATAAACTGAACATTTCTGCCTCTAAAAACCTTAATTTCCTCAGAAGAAGAAGAAAAACATTTTTATCTGAATTTCTCTGGCACGGAATCAAAACGGAAATCACTAAGAACCATTTACGTCACACCGAAGTATTTATTTTAAACAGGATGTTATAGGTTAAGTTTCACAACTTCTGTCTTGGATGGGGCAATTCCAAGTGTGATTACGCATTCTACGAATTTTTTTTTGTATGATATTCCTCCGTGTGGTGATGATCTCACCCTAACGAAAGCAACGGTTTTCCGTTTTCTAGTGAAGCCTATTTTTTTTTCGTATTTCCAATACCAAACAACTCGTACAAAAAACAGAACATTACGCAAAATATCTAGTGAATTATAAAGATGAGAAAAGTTATAAAGATTTCAAACACCGGTCAAGGGGGAGGAGGCTGTAGCCCCTTAGGTTTGTTTGTTTGTTTTTGAATTTCGCGCAAAGCTACACGAGGGATATCTGCGCTAGCCGTCCCTAATTTAGCAGTGTAAGACTAGAGGGAAGGCAGCTAGTCATCACCACCCACCGCCAAGTCTTGGGCTTTTACCAACGAATAGTGGGATTGACCGTCACATTATAAGGCCCCCACGGCTGAAAGGGCAAACATGTTTGGTGTGACGGGGATTCGAACCCGCGACCCTCAGATTGCGAGTCGAGTGCCTTAACCACCTGGCCATGCCGGGCCAGCCCCTTAGGAATGTGAGGGACATTCACTTAGCAATGTGAAAATTAACCTCTAATGATGTATTTCAGTTAATATTTACTATATCTTACAGTGGTGAAATATTTTTTATCAATGGGTTAATAAATTTAGCGGATTCTTGGCGGCCTAGAATTGTGACTTGAAGGAGCTAAGTACCCCCCCCCCCCCCCCCCCCCCC